AGCCTGCTTATCGATGTGTGTGTGTGTGTGTGTGTGTGTGTGATGGTTTATATACTCTCCGGGCATTTTCTAATCAACTCTAACCGCACCATCCTCATTTTTTCACTCTCAGCTGAGTAGATGCGTGCTTTTCTCACCTGCCCCCTCGTGGCTCCTCGCCAGTCACATACAAAATGACATTCAAACAACATGCAGTGGAATTCATAGTCCATCTCAAAGCCTGAGTAGGTATGAAAGATTTGTATTTGTGTCTGTTGTCATGCCTACCTGACTGCCGGATTGACTTTGCTTGTTGGCAGCGCACACACTATGTGAGTATTTGTATGTGTGTGCCTGTGTGCCTGTGTGTGTGTGTGTGTGTGTGTATTTAGGTGTATGAAGATGTTCAGGTTTGTGTTTGGTCTAACTTGAGAGGAAGGAAAAGCCAAAGAGAGAAAGAGAGAGAGAGAGAGAGAGTAAATGCGCAAAATGAGTGAGAAGCTGAGACGCGGGGAAGAGGAGTAGGAGGAGTAGACGAGCCCGAAATGTGAAAGTGGCAGGCGGTGCGCTGCTTCTCCCCGATGAGTAGGGCAGAATTGGGCGTGTGGGTTTAGTGCCGTTTTATGGGCCTACTATTATCCCATCTGTCGCCTCATCAACTGGTTCTGCCCAACTGCCTCTGCCCCCTCGCATTAGCACGAGCAGTCGTCCCACGAGCCTCGGGCTGACCACCACCAGCGCAAGCACCACTTCCTCGTCTCAACGGCCTCTACACTCCCTCTCCCTCTCCCTCGCTCCACAGCCCCACAATTCTCCACACCCTCCTCCACACTCTAACCTCGGCTGTCCGAGTGTGGTACACTCTGGCCAAAAACAAACTCGCCCAGCTCAAACCAATCGACGCTCTCAATTTCTCTCGCTCTTCTCACGACAACTTGCCGGTCTCCATCTCCCTGTCACTCCTGCTCTCTCACCCCATCCTTTCCCTCATTTCAGGCATACTGCCAGCCTTTTGTCCTACACCCACCGCGCCAGTCTCTCAAGAGATGTTGGGCCAAATTTCCTATGACCATTCAACCTTGAGACCCTCACGCATACACACACACACACACACACACACACACCACACATTCACACGCATGTTCACACGCATACATAAGGTTATTCGGATGAATGCATATCCACAAAATGACCGACGCATATATGCATGCAGTGTGTATTAGAGTTATCGCCTTTCTGATACCCTTTCAAGTGCACACACAAACACACATAGATAGATAGACAGGCACAAACGATTCTCACTGATCTGCTGATTCCGCTGAAACGGTCCGATGCTCGTCTAAGCTCTCTCCTTCTGCCAAACTGCGGCTCGACTGGGCCGAATTGAAATTCCGCATGCTCACTTCATCACCAGAACGGGCGAGCAGACCTACCGGCCAAGTGGTGCAGACTCATTTGCTGCTCTTCCCCCTCACCCGTCTTGTCCGACGGCATCGACAAACGAGACTGCTCGTTTCTGTGTCTCTCCGGCCTGTACAACGTGCGCGTTAGTTGGACGAGCTAAGTGTATTGTTTCCCAACAAAACATCGCCCTGTTACCTCGCGATGGGGTATCCCGTAAACTTTATCGCCATCCACCCATCCAGGCCCAACCTTCAACAACTCAGTCTGCAAACAGAAATCCATCTGCCTCGCATGGGGGCCTTGAAATGCCGCCGCTTTGTCTGCAAACACACTGCCTAAAGCAAGCATGCGATAAGCCACGGTCTCGGAAACCGGAGAGCTGAGCCTGAAGGGACGTGCTCTTCGCAGAATCAAAGACCAAAAGCACAACTTCAACGTGTGGACAGTCCAAGCGGCAGGCCGACAGAAGACGATGGTGGCCTAGATTTCGTGTGAAAAGCTTTACTTGGAAGGAAGCTATGAAAAGCAAGATGGTGTAGCCTTTGGTATGGTCGCAGTCTCCTTTCGATTTATAGAAATTGATTGACCTCGTTGTCGCAACTTGTTGTCTTGTTGTCAGGGCGACTTAGTAGAACGCACCCAATCCAGCAACAGACAGTGGACTTGGTACATTCTCAAACTTTTCTCCCGCCTCGTATTCGGCATCATCAGTGAGTTTTCCCATTCGCCGCACCAAGCTACGAACTCGTCAAAGAGACAAGTGAAGTCAATGCCTCGACAAAGGTTCTTCCGAAAACGGTTACACTTTCTGTCCTGGCCCATCTATCTACTCTTTACCCTCTTATCCCATTGCGGTTCTATCACAACTCACTGATGATGCCGACTACGAAAGAAAGTACCGAGTCCACTGTCTGATGCTCGGAATTGTGACAACTACTTCGGACTAGATGCGTTCTACTAAGCCGCCCTGACAACAAGACCAAGTTGCGACAACGAGGTCAACCCATTTTTACTTGGAGGGGTTTCGCAAATCGATCTTAACGAAATCCGAATGACAGTTGTAATTGTTGCTTTGATTCATTAGCGCTTAGTTGACAGAAGACACACTTTGGAAAATGCCAAAATTTGTTTGATATACACACTAGTTTGGATTGACAACCTCCTCGCAAATTATTCTCATTAGGACTACCTTAAAATCGTACCTTTTCCGGCCTCCTCTGCCGTCGTTAACATGCTCATTTTCAATCATTCCATGTACTCGGTACATCCCCAGCTGTTTCGCCGGCACGACTATGGCCTCATCTGATACCACCAACTTTTCCTTATCCTTTCATATAACGTTCTCTATCAAATATTCTACCTTGCTCTTTCCTACCTTCTCCAGAGATGCGACCTCGTAAACTTGTTCATTGAAGCGTAATCACAGCAACATTCTGGTTTCACGCTTCTCTGTGCTGGACTGGCTGATCTACACTATCGCCAAGTTGTGCTAGAAAGATTAAACTTTTATTAATTGGGTAAATGTGTCAGGATAGAAGAAAAAGTGATAGCACGAACGTTCGGCAGAATGTAGCATTTTTATAAAGTCGTGGCCCGGTGGTAGGTCAGAGAGAGCCGGATAAAGTAAATGCTTAGTAATCGCTGATAAAAAACGAGCGAGTAACTCAGGGAACCTGTGACCCATATAAAAACTACATCGTCTTGATGCTCATACTTTCAAATTGATGAAATTTTTGCAAGAATGCATTCGTGATCTGACGACAGCTTTGAGGACTGGAGAAATAAAAGCTTGGTTCTTAATTATTTGGCTTAAAGAACTTTTACGGTTATGAAGGACTAGTAGAAGAATTTTCCCACAATGATATGAGTTGAGCTGACGTTTCCATTAAATTTCACCTAGACTTGCTTTCCCAAAATTTGTTCTCATCCACGCACCAGTGGACTGCAGTTTCGACCTCGCATAAACAACCCCAGCGGGATTCGAACTGTGACAATGCAGAACGTGAGCTTGACACAATGTGGACGAGAACAACTTTTGGGAAATCAAGGCTATGTGAAATGCAATGTAGAAGTCATCTCTACTCATTTCATTGTGGGAAAATTCTTCTTCTACCAGTCCTTCATCACCTCAAATGAAATTGGGTGAATGCATCTTATATTACTGATTTACTGGTAGTCTCGAAACAATACTTAAATGGGAAAAATTAGAATAACTTTTACATTCTACATTCGAAATCGAAATGGAGGCGTT